AAAAAAAGAAAAACATACAGAAAAACTCATCGCTTCTAAAACAAACAAACAAACTCCTAATTAACTTTAATTTTATTTGCCAAAAGTGAATTCATACATGGCTTTTTAAGAATACACCTCGTAGGGGCGCCTGGGTGGCTCGGTGGGTTGAGCGCCCCACTTCGGCTCAGGTCATGATCTCACGGTTCGGGAGTTCGAGCCCTGTGTCGGGCTCTGTGCTGACAGCTTAGAGCCTGGACCCCACTTCGGATTCTGTCTCCCCCTCTCTCTCTGCACCTAACCCACTCGCATTCTGTCTCTGTCTCTGTCAAAAATAAACATTAAAAAAAAAAGAATACCAATACCTGGAATCCTGGGAGGTTGGACCAGAGGTATTCCCATGGATGTGAGCCGCTAGGTGGCGTGTCAGGCTAACTCACTGCCCTTCTCTTGAGCAGGCTTGCAAGCGACGTCTACACCTCCTGCCATACTTGGTGAGTCACCTCAGACCACCTGATAAGCATTCAGGAACCGCTTAAAACCAAATTCAGCAGAAAATCTTTCACCTTAATGGTGTGATGAGTATTATTAGGGTGTATCTGTCAAGACTTTTCAGAACCTAGTTCTGAAAACTAGCTCAACCTAGTTCTTGATTTCTTAAATGTCTATAAAAATATGACTTTTCCATTAAACAAATGGGAATCGATAGGGTGCAAACAAAAAATAACGTATTTTTCCCCACAACTGCTTAATTATAATTCATCATATGTATCTAATCCTTCCTTGCTTCTTGAATAAAATCTGGATCCATACTTTCTTTGGTCGCTCTTGACTAATAAACGGCCTTTTGTTCACTTTTAACCCCCAAATAGACTTATTTCTATAACTGAAATAGAAATTCTCTTAGAGTGGTCAAACTATTAACAATATGTAAAGTTAAAGCTTCTTGTTCTCTTTTATCTTAGGCTCACTTTAGTCTAGAAGCTTGCATTAAAGAGAAATGCATGTACCTTCTAGATTTATGTATGTATGCAGAGTCATTATGGAGAGAGGGAGGGCAGGCAAGGAGCGAGAAAGGTCTTTCTCGACTGGCACCAATGCACTATGGCATTCTACCAAACATGATAACACTCATAAGTGAGCATTAGCAGAAGTAACAAACTTCAAAATGAGACCTATAAAGACTGAAGATAGAATTACTGGGTATAAGGTACAAAATTAGATCTAAGAATTGTCTACAAGAATAAGGAGCAAGACAGTGCCAACGATGGCTATGCAAATTTGAAAAAGAACTAAGCTTTTAGAAATGCAAAATTTAGGGGCACCTGGGTGGCTCAGTTGGTTAAGCATCTGACTCTTGATTTCAGCTCAGGTCATGATCTCACAGTTTGTGGGATCCAGCCCGTGTCGGGCTCCATGTTGATAGTGCAGAGCCTGCTTGGGATTCTCTCTCTCCCTCTCTTGCTGGCCCTCCCCAACCTGTTCTCTCTCTCTCTGTCTCTCTCTCTCTCTCTCTGTCTCTCAAAATAAATAAACTTAGAAAAACGTATTAATTAAAATTAAAACAGAGAAGATCAGAGCCAACTGAAAAGGAGTGAACTATATATAAGATCAATCTGAAGAAATTACATAAAATACAGCACAGATAGACAAAGAGATGAAAAATACAAAAGAAGGATTAAGCAATATGGAGGATGGAATGAAAAGGTCTAACAGACATTGAACTGGAATTCTCAAAAGAGGGCTTAAAGAGAAGACATATTTGACATGTTCATATTTCCATCATTAATGGAAAATCCAAGCCACAGATTCAGGAAGCACAACAAATCCCAACCTGAATAAGCAAAAAAGAAATCCACACCATGTTTTGGGTGTTTTTTTTTTTTTTTTATGTTTACTTATTTATTTTGGGAAAGAGAGTTGAAGAGGGGCAGAGAGAGAACCCCAAGCAGGGTCTGCACTGTCAGCCTGAAGCCCGAGGCAGGGCTCGATCCCAGGACCTATGGGATCATGACCTGAGCTGAAATCAAGAGTCTGACGCTTAACTGACTGAGCCAGCCAGGCACCCCAACACCATGTTAATTGAACCAAAGAACGTTAGAGACAAAAAGAAAATCTTAGAAACAGCCAGGGAGACAAGACAGATTACTTACAAAGGAAGGATAATTAGATTGGTAACGGACTTACAAAGAATAAAAGCCAGTAGGGAACAGAATAATATCTTCAGCGTGCTGAGGGAAAATAACTATTAATCTAAAATGGTATCCATTCATCAGTTGATGGACATTTAGGCTCTTTCCATCATTTGGCTATTGTTGAAAGTGCTGCTATAAACATTGGGGTACAGGTGCCCCTATGCATCAGCACTCCTGCATCCCTTGGGTAAATTCCTAACAGTGCTGTTGCTGGGTCACAGGGTAGGTCTATTTTTAATTTTTTGAGGAACCTCCACACTGTTTTCCAGAGCGGCTGCACCAGTTTGCATTCCCACCAACAGGGCAAGAGGGTTCCCGTTTCTCCACATCCTCGCCAGCATCTATAGTCTCCTGATTTGTTCATTTTAGCCACTCTGACTGGCGTGAGGTGATATCTGAGTGTGGTGTTGATTTGTATTTCCCTGATGAGGAGTGACATTGAGCATCTTTTCATGTGCCTGTTGGCCATCTGGATGTCTTCTTTAGAGAAGTGTCTAGTCATGTTTTCTTCCCATTTCTTCACTGGATTATTTTTCGGGTGTGGAGTTTGGTGAATTCTTTATAGATTTTGGATACTAGCCCTTTGTCCGATACGTCATTTGCAAAGATCTTTTCCCATTCCGTTGGTTGCCTTTTAGTTTTGTTGATCGTTTCCTTTGCAGTGCAGAAGCTTTTTATTCATGGGATCCAATAGTTCATTTTTGCTTTTAATTCCCTTGCCTTTGGAGATGTGTCAAGTAAGAAATTGCTGCAGCTGAGGTCAGAGACCCTAAATGTCCATCAACTGATGAATGAATAAAGAAATTGTGGTTTATATACACAATGGAATACTACTTGGCAATGAGAAAGAATGAAATATGGCCTTTTGTAGCAACGTGGATGGAACTGGACAGTGTTATGCTAAGTGAAATAAGTCATACAGAGAAAGACAGATACCATATGTTTTCACTCTTAGGTGGATCCTGAGAAACTTAACAGAAGACCATGGAGGAAGGGGGAAAAGAAAGTTACAGAGAGGGAAGGAGGCAAACCATAAGAGACTCTTAAAAACTGAGAATAAACTGAGGGTTGATGGGAGGCGGGAGGGAGGAGAGGATGGCTGATGGGCATTGAGGAGGGCACCTGTTGGGATGAGCACTGGGTGTTGTATGGAAACCAATTTGACAATAAATTTCATATTAAAAAAAATAACTAAAATTGTACACTCAGTGAAATTATCTCCTAAGAACGTGAAGTAAAGACTTAAAAACTGATAGAGTATCCTACCAATAGACCATCACTAGAGAAAACTTCCTTCAGAAAGAAGGGAGGGGCGCCTGAGTGGCTCAGTCTGTTAAGTAACTGATTCATCTCAGGTCATGATCTCCAGGTTCCTGAGATAGAGCCTCGCATCATGGGCCCCACACTGACAGCACGGAGCCTGTCTGGGATACTCTCTCTCTCTCTCTCTCTCTCTCTCTCTCTCTCAAAATAAATTAATTTAAAAAAAAGAAAGAAAGAAGGGAAAAGATTTCTAAAGAAGGTCTGAAATGCAGAAAGAAAAGGTGTAGAAAAAATGTGAATGATTCTAAATGAACATTTTATAAACCAATATTTTATTTTTCTAAACACAATATTTTATAAAGCTGGCCAATCAAGGTAAATAAAACAATGGACAAAACAGCAGTAAGTCCAGAGAAGATAATCAGAATTAAATTGTTTTGGGGTCTATCTTTAAGTTAAATCTACCTGGGAACTTTTTTTTTTTTTAATCTATATTGACTTTTGAGAGAGAGAGAGACAGAACATGAGTGGGGGAGGGGCAGAGGGAGAGGGGGACACAGAATCCAAAGCAGGCTCCAGGCTCTGACATGTCAGCACAGAGCCCGATGTGGGGTTTGAACCCACGAACCGTGAGATCATGACCTGAGCCGAAGTTGGATGCTCAATGGACTGAGCCACCCAGGCGCCCCGACACGGGAACGTTTTTAAGTTGACTACTGAGAGAATTGAGTCCAGATGCTTCAAGAAATGACAGGTTTTCCATTCAACCAGGACCCTAGAATCTGAGACTCCCTTGAGAAGGCCTCGCCAAGAAGAGGATTACTACACCCCTGAGGTACTGATCCCTTCTTCCGCCAACAAAGGTTTTCAGTGGCCTTCTCTTAATTATTTTTCAGATCTAGGGGCACCTGGGTGGCTCAGTTGGTTGAGCATCTGACTTCGGCTCGGCTCATGGTCTCCCGGTTTGTGAGCTCGAGCCCCGCATCAGGCTCTGTGCTGACGGCTTGGAGCCTGGAGCCTGCTTCGGAGTCTGTGTCTCCCTCTCTCTGCAACCTCCCACTCTTGTGCTCCGTCCCTCTCAAAAATAAACATTAAAAAAAAAATTTTGTTTTTTAATAAAAAAAATATGTTTCAGATCTCTGGAATTTTTCAGATCTCTTTAGAACTTAAAACATTCTCCCACAAATAGCTTTTTTTTTTCCCTCCCTTCCCCAAGTGCCATTTCGTGCCCTCTTTGAAAAGGAGCCAGGTACCATCACATTGTCCTGCCGTCTTTCCTACCCCTTATCTCCTCCTGAATGTAGGCCTGTGGAGAGCAGGGAGAGTGACAACAGGAGCTATGGAGCCCATAGCTTATGAAAGTCTGTGACAACATCCTTCTGCTGCTACCACTCGACTCCCCTGCGGTCCCGCGGCCTTCTGTTAACAGTCCTTAACCCCTCTGTTACGGTCCTTACGACAACCCGAGGCAGTCCTATGTGATCTTTTCTTCCCTGCTGAGGTCTTTTAACGTCAGATCACGATCAGACATAGGTATTAATTACGAGTTCTTGATAACAAACGTAGGTGAAACACTTTATTTAGATTAAAACATTACAACCAAATTCACTTTGTATGTTTGACACCGGAAAAAAATCACGGGCAACAGCGATACAACAACAGTTTAGTTTTGATGCCACAGACAAGGCACAAAATAGCCGGGCACGTGACTCCCATGAGACAGATTTCGGACCCCTCGGCCCTGTCGTTCCTTCGATTCCTCTTGCGCGGTCCCACAAGGAAAACTCTCGCGGGGTACTGTCTAATGCCTTTGTTAAGAAAGTGGCTTTGCCTTTACAGCCAAGGCAAGAGCGAAGTTATTCGTGCCTCTTTTCGCTTTCCCAGAAGAGAGGGGCCGGACCGCACGGGCGCGTGTCCAGCCCCAGCGAGAAACCCTGACAAAACTTCTCTAACTAAACAGCTGCATCGTCTCCTACCTATAGTCCCTCTTAGTGCCACCTAAAATCCCCGAGAGAGAGTGACGGTGCCAGATACTTCACGCCTAAGCAGGTTGCCCCCAAGCCCCAGAATTCTGAGTCTAGATCAATTTCTAGTTTGGCTCAGAAATTCCTCTTCAGGAAGGGTTCTGAAATCTCAAGTGCCTTTTTTGTCACCTCCTCCCCCCCCATCCCCCACCCCCCACAGCACAGCTGATGAAAAAGAAACCATCGTGGAGGGAGGCTGGCTCCATGCAGAGCCACATTTGAGGGGCGACGCGGGGCAGCGAGGGGCAGCCCCCAGTGGCCGGCTTCGCAGCCTTGCCCCACCGGCGGCGTGTGGGTGGGCACGGGGTCCAGGACTCTGCACCGGGTGCAAACCAGCCGGATCCCCGTCCTGCAGGTGTTGTAGGAATTGCCCGGGAAGAATCCAAGACAGAGGGCCTGTCTCCATGACTTTAAAAGCCTTTGGACTATAGGCAAATCACTTAGTTTTTCTCAACGTCGGCTTTACATTCTGTTTGATGAGGTCACGACATCCACCCTCCCTCCCTCCCTCCAAGGCAGGAGGGTGTCGTAAGGATCAAAGGATAGAATGCATGTGAAAGTGCTCTGCAAACAGTAATACGCCACAAAAATAACACAAATACCATTACTATTAACCTTCTTATCTCCCTCAGGCAATGCCAAAACTCAGGCTGCCGCTTAAAGCAGCTCAGCATTATCTCTGTTCCACTCTGGTGGCAAAAGCCCCTCACTTCAAGCTCTGTGGATCAGCTTCCCAGGTGACTAGGAGGTAGGATCCTGGCAGGAAGAAAAAAAAAAAAAAAAAAACAAAAACACAAAAAACTAGGCACTTTTTTTCTCTAGGACTTTTAAGTACCTGAGGCCCTATTTTGGTGAATTTGGATCTCTACATCCTATAAATCAGTTTCAACTCTTGCAAGATTCTAGCATCATCTAAATCTGACCTTGGAAGGGTAATGTAGATTTTGTTATTCTTGCCCATCCATCTCACTTTGGGCCTTAAGGTGGCAGTGGGTGCTGACCACAGCCAGGCTGGCAATTTGAATGCTTCAAAAAATGATTTGCCGTTTCCCAATGGTCTTTTTCCTTTCTATTCACGATCTAAGTTTTGCTCGGAGTGACATCAAGGGAATGAGAAAATTACCTGTAATTCTTGTTGTCAGATCTGGGATCGTCACAACAGATCACTTTTCCAGGATTAGAAACATCTAGAACAGGTTCTTGGGAGTGCGCCTAGCTTTCCTTTCTCTCTGCCTCAGACAGTTCTCCTACCCCTGGACCCTGGCGAGTCAGTTACCACCGTGGCAGCCAGATTGCTGGGTGCTTCACCACTGCCAGCCCCAAGGGAGTAAAAGGGACCTCCCCAAGATGTTTAAGCAAAAATTTCAAAGCCCAAGGGGGCCTCGAGACCGGGGTGCACCTTAGTTACGATCTAGTGCAGCATTTTCCAAACGCGTCTGATCACAGGACTCTTCTGAAACGTACGTTAAAAGAACAAGTCCTCGCTGCAGACCCACCCAATAAATCTCCAAGACAGGGCCCAACACTACATGTTTAACAGCAATCAAGTAATTTGTACGGTTAGGCAATTTGGGGAAACACTGACCCAGCAGCAACGGCTTGGAGTCTAAAGGCTGAATCAGATTTGTGATTTCACTAATGGCAGTGACAGTTCGTTTCTCCAGCCACAAAGGAAAGGGGGGCTGGATTACAGCAGTGTCTGTGACTTCGGCCTCCCGAAAAGGCTGCCTGACGTCTAATCAGATTGCCTACGTGAAGTCTTTCAGACTATTTAGAACTATTTACCGACGTGGCTGTTTTCAGCACGGAGCGCCTCGGGCTCCGGTGGCAGCCTCTTCCCACCCCCACTCTGCACAGTCCCGTGCCAGGTGCAGAGGGACGGTCGCGGGAAGGGAGAGGAGAGGCCCATTATCTCCGCCAGACTTGCTCCGTGCGGGTGACGGTGGCCAGCAACACTCACGGCTGCGGAATGGAGCCCCTGGATAAGGAGACGCAGAGCTCCCCCGGGAGCACGCCCGGGCGGGACAGCTGACATGTACCACCGGGGCCACCGCAAGCGTCCCGGGCTTCCTGGCGAGTCTACGCAGGACCTAAAGAAGCAGTCCTGGGGGATACCTCCTGCCACCTGCATCCACGCCCTCTTATCCAACACATCCCTGACTCAGCTGTGACTCACAGGCAAACACAGCAGCTCCTCCATCAACCCACTGGGCCCTCGGCCTTGTACTCCCCCCTCCCCCATCCGAATTCACCTCTTGCAGTCACACTTTTTTAACACTGGCTTTTCAGGACACTGAGCAGATCTTTAAATACAATGGATGGACACACACACACACACAACATTTAAATATCAAAATATACCCATTTAAATTTAAAAACTTTAATTCTCTGGGTTTGTTATAATTTATCCATAGCAATATTTCACATTATATGCATAAAATCTCCTAATTCTTTCTTGGGCATGTCTTATTTCGCCTGTTCAATTGCAGGGTCCCAGTGGACAGAGACCATGTCTTCCACAAGACTTATTTTGTACCCAGTGGGACCTAGGAAGGAAGCTAATGTGTGTTGAGTCCGTCCTATGTGGGAAACGCTATTCAGGGAAGAAACAAAAGGACCCGCTGAGAAGAGCCGGGGTGCCGAGGATGGCCAGCTTTACCTTCACCTGCGCAGTCAACCCTGTCTGCGGCCCCATACCCAGAAGCAGGTGTTCTCTCCTGGCCGAAGGCCTGGAAATTTCGGTGATTCATGCAGCCCTACAGGGGACAACCTGGTCCTATGTCCCCAGGTTACTTGGGTGGCCTGTCATCGTTGTGTTTCGTATCGTGTTGACTGTAGTTTTGTCGTCTTTGGAACCGCAGGTCTCCAATTTTACAAATTCTTTTCCACGACTCCCCTAACCTTCGCCAAAATCATACATGCCCTCGGCTAACAAAAGCAGTATGTTTGGTCTCTGCAGCTGGTGCTATGGGGCTCTTTGGTGGAGAGAAGCCTGACACAGTGCTCAGTATAAAGAGATAATAGCTACTACAGCTACCCAATATTCTCTAGAATTGCCTGAGCAAGTTGAAATCCAAAGCTGGTGACTAAGAAATGATGTTTAATCATCTTCTCCGTCTGAACTGGGGCCAAAACAAACAGACTAGACCTAGGCTCTTAGAGGCCAGGGACACACCAGCAAGTCTAAAACTCAGCACCAGGGTTATGGCTTGTGTCCCCCACCCTTGGAAGTGCCAGCGCTGGCCTGAACCGTCCCTGGTTCCTCTCAGACAGGCCGAAGCCACTGCAAAGTCGCTTGGTGGGCCAGTTCTCCTCTAAGCAGTGATATCAACTCATCCTCTGACCCTCACCACCAGCCACTTCTTTATTTCACTGCACACGCAGGACGGTTTTGGACACGTCACGAAGTAAATGGATACCAGTGGAATGGTACTCTGAGAATAGGGCCCAGCTCCAATCAGGTCGCTCTGGAGAAGACCAAGGAGTTGCTGAAGAAGAAACCTTCGTAGGTTGCCCGGGGATTCAAAGATAAAAAAATTTACCACTGCTGGGAGGCCAGGTATCATTGTCCTCCGGGGATCTGACCCAACCCTGTGTCCCACCACAATGGCGTGGGGTGAAAAGCTTTGACAAACGTTTGCCAAAGAAAGTGGAGACTGTGAGACGCCTAAGTTAGATGGAGTCAGGGATGAAGAACACCCAGACAAGTAGAAATAGCTTTTCCTCCAAGAGAAAGGAACATGTAACAGGTGCACCAACTTCTCAGCCTTGAGCAGGAATCAGCAACTTGGGCTGGGCTCAGCGAGGCAGTTCTTCTGTTGGTCGCGGCTGGCTCACGCCGGTGTTTGCGATCAGCTGAGACTTGATGGGCTGTCAGGGTGGCAGGGGGACCGGGCCTTTTTTCTCATCATGCTGCAGGACAGCCCAGGCTTGTGCACCTAGTGGCAACTGCAGGGTTTCCAAGAGCAGCAGGAGAAAACAGGCCCCATGCACAAAAATTTTTCCAAGTCTCTGCTTGTGTTACATGTTTTGGGCCACCGGCCAAATCAAATCACATGGCCAATCCCAGATGTAAGGGGTAGAGAAACAGGCCGCACCTCTTGATGAGGAGGGAAGAATTTATGGCCGTTTTTTTTTTTTTGTTTGTTTGTTTTGTTTTGTTTTGTTTTGCAATCTACACAAATTACAACATCCAGAGATATCTAGCTTTGGGATTTAGGCAAAATCTGTCATTTAGGCAAGGGTGGGAATAGGAAGTGTTGCTTCCCGAGAGAGCCGGATCACTTGTTTCCCAAAGCATCTAGAGCAGCAATCTGATGAGGCGAAGAGTTGCACACTCCACCATCTCCGGTGTCCTGGAAGGGCAGGGCTGGGATGGCGGAAACAACTCACGGTAAATGAAGTACAAAACCAGAGAAGATCACGTGGAATCTGTAGGGGAAATGGCCCACATCCAAAACATAATGAGATCGTATATTCTTTTCCCCTTAAATTCTTTTCCATTCTTCGCTACTTACTGCTTTGTCCTTTCTCTTCCCCTTCCCCTTCATGTGTGCGTTTTAAGCGTTTATCAAAAGGCACCTGATGACAAGTGAATCAGGGTGCAGAGGGAGGTGGGGCTCTGTGGGTGGCACCGCCATGTGAAAAGTCCCGGAGAAGGAGGGTGAGGAGAGCCCTTAATGTCCGGGACTCACATGTCACTGTGCACAGCAGAAGGAGAAAAAGCAGTTTATGTTCTCAGAGTGGAAAAAGAAATCCCACTTGCACAGCTTTTCAAAAACGTATACTCTTTTGTTTCGTCGCAGCCACTCAAGGCATGTCATTCGGAACGGCAAGTTGAAGTCACTTCTGTGATCGTCCAGCAGGTCACTGTCACTGAGCTCACCAAAGGCCCTCTGATTTTAGCGTAACAATAGTCACTGACTAGTGACTGGGAGACGGGGGTAAAAGGTATACTTTGCCTAAAGCTATCTTCTGTTGTCAGTATCAGGCCTTCTTCTAATGGTAGTAATAAGTTCTTCTGTCTCTAAGCACAGCACAGGAAGTACAGAAGCGCATACCGTAGGCAGAGGCGTTTTCCAGGGATCGGCGGTCCAGAGCTAATTCCCTTTAAGAATTGGAAAAGGAATCCCGGTTTGGCTAAGGAAAAACATCAGGCAGGATGAACTCAGTGGATGAGACACTCCGTGCGTGGAATGTTCTCACAACGTAGTCCTCTTGTTTCTCACACCAGTTAGATGTACGCTGAAGTTTGGAATCAGCCCCCCCCCCCCTTAAAGGACGCTCCCCCCAATCCCTTGCCAAAGCAAAGGTCAAATCTTCCAAGGTGGTGTCCAGAGAAAGTCCCGGGCCTGCTGGCTCTTGGATTTGTGTCTTGTCTCCATAGTCCGCTCCTGATTTCTAGTCACCCAGAGAGACGGCTTGAAAACAAACATCAGACCACAAGGGACATCCTGGTTGGAAAGTCACTCTGGAAAAGAGCAGGAAGAGCCCAATGTTAAGCCACACGACGGTTAAAGAACCCCAACCCAACACAGCAGATGGTCCCCTGGGCAGAGGCTACAACCTAACTGTTCAGAGCCCGGCGCACCCTGACTCTTAGGGCATTCCATCAGGCTTATGGCTACAGTTTCTAAGCCTCAGTTGGTGCTGAAGCCAACACGCATCTGACGGAACTTAGTTCCGTGGCCACACAATGACCTCCCAGACCTTTAGGGCTAACTACGTTTACAGTCCCATAACCGCTAGTGCGGACGGCGCACCGTAAACCTGACATAACCTTAAAGTTCATTCCCTGCTCACGGTACCTCACAGGTCATCTCATTGTACTCTTTGAAGAACAACGAAAGATACTTAATTGTTTTGGAGGGGCTACGAGTCATGCCAGAACGTTTTCCCATTCATATTCTCTCCCCATACTGCACACTAAAGGAAAGGTCCACCCTGAGTTATGAAAAACAAAATGGTGGAAGAAGCAGGGTCACTGAGGAGGGAGGGTAAGCCCTTGGGCTGGCAGAGTGGTCTTCAGAGCACAGGGGGCAGAGGCATTCTGACAACCAAGAGCGGGCATTTGGGGCTGTCCCCTGGCGATTCTCTGACCTCCAGAGCTCACATCTGGGGGCTGAGGGGCGGACCGGGCTGCCCTTGGCATTTAGAGAGAAAACAATACAATCTATGTAAGGCCAATTACAAAAGAGACAATTAACCGGGCAGGGACCGAAAGGTTTCCTTCACATACACAGAGCACAATTTATAGTTTACATTCAACAAAATGTCAAGGAGGAAAGTGAGCTGTCCTTCAAAAACGGCAGTAGCTACCAACCTTCTCTGGGCTGTGAACGCATCCGGAAGTTTATGCAACCCTCCCCGCAAGGGGTGAGAGATGGGGGGGGGGGGGACGCATCTACACGCATGCATCGCACATTCTGCACACAGATCTCAGAAGCCCCCCTAAACGTCTGTGGTGGTAACGATTCTCGAATCCCTGACGCCACACGCTTCTTAAAGCTGCTCTTAAGGATCTGAGACGCTACATCTGCACCCCCGCAATTTCTGCTTTTGGCAACTCTCCAGGGCCCCCTGCTTACTGCCTTCACCTGGTCCGGGGCAGAGCGAGGTGGGCAAAACCCGGCCTGGCATCCGCGTTCCCAAAGCCGGCGGCCCGGCTCCCGGCACCTGGCCCTCCCCCCGGAGCCTCCCCCCTGCCCTCCCCTCCCCCGCCCCCACCGACGGCTCCCCGCACGAGGGGCGCCAGGCTCGGCCTCACAGTTTTCTTGGTGGGCTCCTTCTTCCGCTTCTTCTCCGAGTTGCCGTGGTAGGGCAGGTCGCGGCCGCGGTAGGACGGGCCTCGGCTCAGCTCGCGCTCGCTGTAGGGCGGCAGCGCGTCGTCGTCGTCGTCGTCGTCGGCCGAGTCGTCGTCGTCGCCCTGCGGCGAGGCCGCCTTGTAGGTGCCGGGCGGCGACCAGGCGTAGTAGGAGGCGCTGCGACGGCCGAGCTGCGCGCTCAGCCGGGACGGCGTCTCGAGGCTGCCGCCGCGGCTGGCGCCCTCGGGCCGCGCC